GAAAAGCTTGAAAAAATAGAAAAAAAAAAGTAAGAGAGAAAGAGAAGAAAACCCATTGAGCAGAGAGGAGGCGCGAGGTCGAGGTCGAGGTCGAGGTCGAGATCGAGATCGAGGACGAGTTGTGTTGAATTCAGAGTCATGATCTTCTTCTTCATGATCTTCAGAAATGGGTCTCGCCCTCTTCTTCTCCTTTCCTCTCTCAGATCTCTCCATTGAATTCACAACTCTGATCTCTCTCTTTTTTTTTCTCTCACACAAATTTGGACAAAGGAGTTTGGTTCTGTTTAGTGGGAGAAATTTGATTTTATAGATGCCATACTTTGGGGACTTAAAAACCCTACTCTTTCCATCCAAATTGCAAGGAATTTTCATGCATGTCGTTTTCACAGATTGTTGACCAATAGGCTTTATGACTTCCTAGTCATTTCTTTCCTTTAATCTTTTATCTAAGATATATTAAAAAATAAATAGGGGCGTGTAACGAACCCAACCGAACCAACTCGGTTGGTTTTTACTAGTTCAATTCGGTTCTCAGATTTAACTGAACTTAACCGGCTCATCAAACCTAGAACACGTACAGAAACAAAAACTGGAACAAGAACCATTGACCAACGTCTCAACTTAGACCAAATCAGTTCGGTTCAATTTCATATTCTTTACATAACCGAACCAGTTTGGTTTTAACAAAAAAACCAGTCCCATTTACTTTCTTGTAAGGAAAATGTTAAACTATACGTCTATTATCTTAATTTTTAGAGTCCTTATATCTACTTAATAACTAAACCATTAAAAAGTTTCAATTACTTAATTAGATTCCTTAACTTTTAGAGTTATGTACTTTTCCTCCATTTCACTTTTAATTCTGTGTTTTATAGTAGATTTATATTTTTAATTCATTGATCAACACTTACACATATCTAAATGTAAAAGATTTATATCCCAAGTCTAATTCTTAGATAATATAGCTAGCATGTACTGTAATCCCACAATTGTTAAACTAATGGGTGAAAAATAATGATTTATTAGAACTAATTTGAAAGTTCAATGATTTATATTATAGATTTTTTATAATAATATAAAGAATTAAATAAACACCCACAATAAAAGTTTATAGGCTTGAAAAACTTTTTAAAGTATATAAACGAATTAAATTGACGCAACTCTAAGAAGAGAGGATGACTTTGGACATAAAGGGATATTTATAAATCTTACTCTTAGTTTCAAATTTCAACGTTACATCAATTGTTGTTTCAAAATTTTTATAGAAACTTTTCCATTTATTTCATTTACATTCTTTTGAATTTTTAGAAATCTATATTCTAATTTTAAATCACTTGAAATAAATTATTTTAATTTGTATTGCTCTCAAATGTGGTTTTGAACCTGCATATTAAGATAGGTGTAGAGATATATTGAAGTCACGTATAGATATTAAGTTAAGATGTTTATTGATTTTTTTTTAGAAAGATGTTTATTGAATTAATGGATATAGGAAGGATTTAAAAAAATTATTCTCTTAAAATTTAGTCTTTTTCAAATTTTGAACCGAAATAAAAATTTAATTTAGAGTCTAAAATAAAATTCAAATCTTAAAAAGAAAAATTAGGAGAGAGAGAGAGAGAACGCGGTTTCCTTACCGTTACCCTACCGTAAAGCAAATGCGAAGGATGACGTCAGAATTCACGCTCTAACAAAGATTAATTTTTTTTCTTTTTTTTAATTAATATTAAGATAATGTTTTTTTTTTTGTACAATATTAAGATAAAGTTGAATCTGACCCTTAATGAATTCGACAATCCACCCTATAATTTTATTCTATTCAAATTCAAAAGATTCCTTTGCACACAAAAAAAAAAATAACAATAATAATAATATAAGAAAAAGGAAAGAAAATAAAATATTAAGTGAAAAAAACCTCTGCTTTTTCTTGTCTGTTTCTTTGATAATTCGTTTTTTCCGTTTCCAAGTCCAACCTACCACGAAATATTGTATATATAAATAATAATATATTTGCTAAGGATTATTCAATTCCCTTTTCAAATTAGTTGCAAAAGTAAATTAAAATATCTTTTCAAATTAATCTATGCTTCTCTTAATTTATCATTATTTGGTTTTATTGTTTTATTTTTGGGTCTCCTATATTTTACAGAAAACTCTAATTTCATAATTATAGAAAAAAAATCAATTTACACACTCAAGTTTTTAAGTTTTCAATCCTAAAAGTATCAAACTTATGACTCATATAGTTTCAATTGAGAAAATGCTAAATCGAGAAATATGAGTTTTTGTTATACCCTATATTTGGATGACATAGACAAATTGTTTGGATATAAAATATTGAACCCTTACTTTTGTGCTTAAGAATTAAAAAAAAAAAAAAAAAAGACCAATCGATATCTGTAGGAAACAATTAAATGCACTATAATCGAAACATTTTTAGTGTAAAAGATTAATAAATTTATAGTGCTAAAACAAGGCACATCTATCAATTAAATAAGTTCGCTTTTTTATAGAACCTGCAATTACAAAAATAACCTTAATGAAACATGGGGCTAGGGCGGTTCAAATGAATATATAAACATCCCTTACAAAATTAATAACATAATCCATCTAGAAATCTTCGATTTGGAAGTCTACGGTAATTTTTGCAAATTCATATCGATATGATAAGATTTTTTATATTATATAAACAATGAAATGCTTTTCTTTATTTCGAGAGGCACCCATTAATCACCATTGAATCCCATATAAAAATTAAATTATTTTAACTCAAAGTCTTGGAATAAGATTGAGATGTGGACAAAATTGTGACGTGAATAGAGATTATTTGATTTACCATTTTTCATAAATAATCAAATTATTACTATTTTTAATTACATATGTGGAAAAATTCCCTCCCTCTAGAAGATTATACAGTAAGAGTTTTCGTCACACATTTTTCCACTTTATTTTAAGTTCCAAACCGCTGACGTCAACTTTGATCTTTCTTTTTTTTTGTCAATTGCCTCAAATTCTTAAGTTGAGTAGGATAAGCACTATATAATTATAAAATAGATTATAGTCTGATGAAATCTTGTAAATTAAACGGCTAAAGGTTTAAATTTTCTACGTTTAACTTTTAGTGGTAGGTTAATATATTCCATTTTTAATAAGTAAACAGAATCAAAATTATGTTGTTTCCAGTCACATGGTTTGTTTGTCCAACAAACCCAAAGATTGGATCTTTTTTTTTTTCCAATTTTTAAAATTAAGCTTGGTTAGTCACAATTTTTCTTTTCGTATTTCTAAAAACACCAATGAAATTTTAATCCTTCTTACAACTATTTTTTAAATTTTAATTTGAACTGTCAAAACTTTTGGCAATAAAATATTGATCATTGCATGGAAAAAAATATGTTTACCTCCGATTTTGGTTCATTTTAGTCCTCGTACCTTCAAAACGTTCACTTTAGTTCTTGTATTTTTAATTTTTTTATTCATTTTGATCTCTATATTTTTAAAATGTCCATTTTAATCTATGTACTTTTAGAAAGTGACTATTTTTGTTCTTATTGTCAAAATTTTAACATAAATTTTATACACAATGGAGATATTTTATACAAAATTATGACTACATTTCAAAATTTTAATTATGTGAATAAAATGTCAAACTAAAATTGTGATTAAAAATGAAAATAATTGAACTAAAATGATCGCTTTTTAAAAATATAAGGATCAAAACGAACCAAAGTCCCAAAATATACAGTAGGGAAACCAAAAAATATATCCCTACAAACATGAATAATATCATAAAACACTACTTAAATTTTTTTGAATGATGTGCAATCATCCCTAATTTTTTTTTTCAGGATTTATAATATAAATAAATTACAGAATTTTCAAAAAGAAAAAAAAAAGTGAGAGTTGATAAGTTCAAATCTTAAAAATAAAAACTTACAAAGAGATGGAATTGTTATTCAATACACCCTAATACAGAACCCATCTAATTAATTAGAGTTAAGAAGGGCTAAAATTAAACATGAACGAAAATTGGGAAGAGTTTTAAATTCTATTATTCTTAATTAATCAGGACTTAGAATCAGAAGATAGAAAAAAATATATTTTATATCGCCATATCCTATCTTATTATTATTATTATTATTATTATAGGACAGGTTCGGGGTAACAATCATAATATAAAAGTATATATAAGTGGTCATACATGCAGATAAATTCTAAATTAGTCGATGTGTGTCACGCCAAATTGAATTATATATTCATATTAGTCATTTTCAAGTGGAAGAAATGTGATGGGTTTCACATGATTTGACTAGGATTTTTTCTTTATATATCTTTTAATACTTTATCTTTGGTTCATTAAATTAATTGCTATTTTGAATCTTTACAATCAGAAAGACATCAGCATCTTTGAAAAAACCGAATTCTGCTTTTTCTATATCTTCCAAATCATTTTCTTCAGCCTTTTATATTACACAATAGATTTTTCTGTTAATTAATTTACAAATATCAAATACTTTGTCTTTTGAAGTGATTTGTGAGAATCTTAATTTGAGTTTGGTTAGAACATTGCTGCATTAATATAAGAAACATTGAAAAACCAATAAACAACAAATAAAATAGTAATCCAATCGCATCCAATCAAGCATAGTTTTGTTTTTCCTCATTGAAAAAACTTAATTAATATTTCAATTTCATGTAAAATTATCTAYAGACCAATCTTCTTTGAATGATGATCTCAAAACATTGAATATATTTACATGTGAACCATATGAAATTTGCAATGAAGGRACAAATAATATTATATAAAATTGAACTTAACATTAAAAAATCAAATTGCTGAAAAGAAAGTCTCTAGAAAATCCATCACTAATATCTCCTTTAAAAAAGAAAAGAAAAAGGAAAACATCATTATCAGCTTATGAAGTTAGTTCACCAAACTTCAATTTTTATTTTTATTATTATTATTATTATTATTATTATTATTATTATTATTATTATTAAATGTGAGTTATATGCCCTTCCACCTTCCACCAAGTAATGCTGATTATTATATTACTACGAGGTCACTATCAATTAATCTTAATCAACAAGGGATGTGGAAAGTTATTGAGRGAGATCAAACATGACAACCAAATATATATTTTTTTTCCTTTTGACATTTTCATAAATTTGAAKAATTCAACATTTTTGTTTATGGCAAGTCCCACTAGCCCCTATGGTGGCATATATGCTGTGCTGTAAAGTTTTTGGTTTATTTCCGAATTTACCAT